AAGGGGAATGCAGAGACAGGCTACAAGTGTCTTAGGTTCAAGTTAGACAACTAATGTCTGGGTTAGTGTTCATGACTTCATGTTTATGTCATTTTAATGGTTAATCTCAATGCACACACATTTTCCCTGCTTTCCAATAGTTTAAAATAGTTGTATTCCACTGTTAAATAACCTGTTCAATACAAACATGCAACTTGTAAACATTATAATTATCTGATATTTGTTTAGTGAGCTTATTAGAGGATGTTCCCTGAAAGATTGTGAAATGTCAATGAAGATGTCAGACTTAGTATATTTTTTAATAATTACATACAATACATGGAATTTGTGTAGTGTGTGTGTGTTCCAAGTGAATCTACGGCCCCCTGGTGGACAGTACATCAATTATGTGGCCCCCACCACCATCCAAGTTGCCCATCCCTGCTTTATATATCTATGGTGTCTCCCCCCACCCCGTCCACCCAGTAAAACAATCCCCACTACAACACTGGAAAAAACTATATCCGGTCACAGAGCTCTGCTATTTTAAAGTAAAGTAAACACATATTGAGCCTAAATATAGTCTATATTAATAAGAACGAGAAAGGTTTTTAATATATATATCGTTTATGACAAATGTGCAAGGGTGATGACGTCAGAGCATCGTCCTATGTGCCGGGGCTTAGCCAATTTAACCCCTGATTATGTAACTATGGTCATGCTAATCAAGCTATTGAATTGAGAGAGAGAGATATAGAGAGAGAAATGCAGCGTGTCTGTGAGCGAGCAGCTCCCCCACACAGACGAGAGAGCAGGGNAGAGCGCAGATGGACAGCACAGGACTGTGTATGGACAGTCATGGCTGAATGTGTGTGTGTGTTGTGGCCACACTGTGTGTGTGTTCTCTGTTGTTGGCAGGAGTGTAGATGCTATTATCACTTCAAACAGAATGGATCATGCTCATAAGAGCGGCGCAGGGAGGAGAGTGAACACCAGCTGTGTGTATGTGCCAGTGTCAGTCATTTTGTAATTCTCCACATGTAGGCGTACTGATGTGTTTGTGTGTTTATG